AACTAGATGGCGACACGTAACACGAAAAACTACGTAAATTCAAATACATATCGGTTACGAACTTTGCTGGCTGTTCCCATTGGTTCGTACCTTTACGGTGATTTATGAGATGGGCTGTTTACAATGGCACACATAACCGTATAAAGTTATTCAGATGAATATTTTACTTCTGAATAAAATAAAGTATATGTGGTTATTATTAATATTATTATCAAGGCAACACACCATTTCTAGAGATTTAGCTTTTCTTTGGTAGCGATAGAAAGCTTTCGTTAAAGAATTACATTATTCTTAAAGTATTCTTAAGTATTCAAATTATATCTCCATGCATTTGAGTACTTTTACATTTTGAAATTAATTTAATAAAACAAGTGAAATTTTAATTCGATTTTCTGCTACAATAAAACCTTAAAACATGGCACATTATTCCAGTTATATGAATTACTAGAAAAGTTTAACATTAGTTCGGTTTCGTGCTTCTTTACATTATATTAAAGGTATGGAAGAATATGTTTCATTAACATTTAGCTGCAAAATTACGATTCATTTTCGAAATTCCCCTTTAGGTTTCCGTTATGAGATGAAAGTCTTTGAAAGTTCAGAAAATTTGTCTACTTATTCCACTGCGATAAACTGGAATCCGAAATCCAGTTTTCGAGAATATTTTTTTCCCTTTCAACCTTAGAGTAAACACCGAGACCCTGTAATCTGGAGCATGTTAGCACTGTTAAGAATGATGTAACGAAGAGTTTGAGATTATGCAATGATTTTAGTCATGGAGGTAGGAAAGGGAGTTGGGGCCACTTCGCGCTAAAAGTGAAGCACTGCTTTGAAGCTTGGGTCACCAGATGGGGTGTTCTTTGTTTACATTCAGAAGCTCGCTTGACAAGATTCTGATAGTATTTCGACACACGACAGTTCCATAGAAATCGAAAAAAGGGACACTTTCGCATAAAAGAAACATTCATAGTGTGATGGATAATAGCAATTTGTATAGTTTAGTGACATTTACGCAAAAATCACATCTTTGTTATTTTTCGATAACTAACAACAGCGATTTTGATTATGAATTTGTTTTATAAAATTATAAGCTGTTGCACTACAAAAATATAGATTTTTAAGAAAAATGTTATGCTTAAAGAATGAAAAATACCTTACGGTACATTTAAAATTGTATACGTCTTTCGATACCCTTGATAGAGTATTCGCTACTTTTATTTTATTTTCCAAACGTCAAAATGTTTTAAAATAAAACAAATTTTTTTCACATCCATATATTATTGTAACATGTACCTTTTAAAATTTTTTAGAGGAGAGGCTTTACTGCTGCTCATTTTAAACCCATCGTTTTAATTTTATATATCTGAAAAATAATCACTTTGGGCTTACACGTTTTATAAATATAAAATTATGTATGTTAAAATATTTTGTAATTAGGCACATAGGTCAGATTAAGTTTTTATTAAATAGAGTAAACGCATGCAAGGGCTATCTGCCTAAAGAGAGAGATGCCATCGAGGAGGAATTTTGAAGAAAAAAACTGACCTCTGAGTTGGTATTAAAAATAATACTTATAATTTTCATTCAAATTATATTCATATATATTTTTTATGTAAAAACTCTCGGGTGTATGCTAAATTAGTGTAAATTACTTTACACGAAAAATATAGTGAATGCTCAGAAATCAAAGATTTGCACATGCCGGAAATGAAAAATAGGAAATATGTATGGGTATTTATGCATGTGCTTGCAAAAAAGCATGTATTCTGCCTTTGACAAAATACTTAAATATTCATTAAATTATTTATAAATGTATTTGAAATGAAGAATTTATTCACTTATAAACAACTGTGAAAGTACTGTGAAGAAAAATTATTAAATGTATTAATTTATGATTAAATGTTATCTAATATATAATAACCTTAATATTGAATTGTAAACATAAATTGAAATCCTGTTGACAAATACGTTGTCATGCACATACTCTATGCTACCGACCAAACCTGCCGGAAGAACAGACTTATAGCTGAAAGTCAACGACTTATAGCTGAAAGGAGAGAGGAGAAAATCTGGCAACGAAAAGAAGAAGTGTGCTTGATGCGAGAAGGACGGCATGCTCGTGTGAAAAAAACAGTTTATCTGAAAGGAGAGGGAAAAATCTGGCAACGAGAAGAAGAAACGTGCTTGATGCGAGAAGAACGGCATGCTCGTGAGAAAAAAATTTGAAATTAGTTTGGCTGTATTCCGAGAGTAGAGAGTTAGTTTTTTTTTTTTTTTTTTTTTTGTTAAGAGCTGAGAGATGCAATGTATTACTTGTGCGTTTGATGTAAATGTGAATAAAAGCAATACTTTGTGAAAAGTTAAAACTGTATTTACAAAATTAAAATATAGCTCATGTTATTGTTAAACCTGCATAAGTGTCCCAGTTTATTTCCTGCAAATAGAGTTGACTAATAACATTCATAAGTGGATGGAAAACGAACCGACAAAGATGAATTGATCAAAGGATCGATTATATGACAGTGGTGGCAGCTGGTCGGATGTATATTTGTCGACTCGGAAAAAGCTCAAGTGAATTCCTTACGAATGCTGCGAAGCTTATTAAGTGGAATGGAATAGTTATCTTCTACCAGGTTCTCTCGTTAAGTGATTTATTTATGTTTTTGTGTTTATGAAAAATTTGCTGTTAATGTAAAGGTACACTTGAACAAGTATTTTATAAGACAAAAATTATCAGTGTGATTATCATATGAGACTTGAATTACCTTGCAAGTGCATTTATCTTTTATTATATGAGTGAATGATCATTAATTTAAGTAATGCTTGTGTTTTATTTATGAGATATGATTGCATTAATTTTCAAATGCTTATATATAAACATACATGTTTTTTTTATTTATTGAGTATTTGGATGTTGTGCATATTTAATGCAGATACCATGTGTTTATGATTCAACAGAAGTTAAGGATTTAACTTGATGTATAATTTTATGTAAGGAGATTTAGTTTTAATTTTCTGTTATTTTAATTAAGTTGAACATAAAGTCGCATAATGTCATTTTTGGCCAAATCTAGAAAGGCTGATCTAGTCGCCCTTGCACAAGAGTTTGGTGTTGAAGTGTTGCCTACATTTAGGATTTTGGACTTGAGGGAAAAGATTCTTGCTAGTGAATGAAAGCTATGAGGAGCAGGTAGTAGCAAAGGATCTTCTGAGTGTTATCATTACAGATAGGGAGGCAAAGGAGGAAAGGCAAGAAAGGGAATATAAACTAAAGTTAGAGGCAGAGGAGCGGATTGCCATTGAGAAGTATAAGGTAGATTGCCAGGATCGTTACTCGAATAGGAGTACTACACCCGAACGGGGGAGAATGGGAAGGAAAGATCAGTAGAAGAGTTAACGAGAACAATCAGATTATTGACAGTAAAGGTTCCAAGTAAAGCAGATGGCTGGGACTATTTCTTCTCCAGTTTAGAAAGAGCTTATGTCAATGAAAGTGTCCCTGATGAGTATAAGGCCAAAATTTTGATTTACCTTTTGGGAGATAAAGCGGCAAATTTATTAACATTGATAAGCGAGGATAAGTATGGGAATTATGAGGAAATAAAGGAAACTGTGTTGAAAGAATTTAAACCTTCACCTCAGGTATGCCTGGAGAATTTCAGAAAGGCAAGACGAAGTTCAGAAGAGACCTTTGGCCAGTTTTCTACTAGAGTTACTGCCATGTGGGAAAATTATGTGAAATCAAGGGGGGTGACAGACTTTGAAGGTCTTAATCAGTTGGTGGTGGTAGCGGACAAAATCTACCAGACCCTTGATACGGAAACTGCAGTACACATAGGTATAAGGCAGGGAGACTCGTGGTTCAAGCCAAGAGAGCTTGGAAAGGAGTGTGACATATTCTTTGCGGCTAAAGGGAAGTCCTACAACGTACGTAGGGAAGCTTGTGAAACTAAGATTTTAAATCAAGTAGTAGGTGAGAAACCTAAGGTCGAAGAAAGACGAGGCAGTCGGCATACGTCAGAAACCATAGGGAAAACCACAGGGAACGTTAACGTTAAAGGTTTAATATGTTTTGTATGTGGTTCAGCTTCACATTTTAAAAGGCACTGTCCTCAGATTAAAGGTTCTAGGCAGTATAACAGAAATGAGGAAAAGGATAAAGCCAGGGTAAACTGGGTAAAGAAAGATCAGGATAATGATATCCTAGAGGACAAAGTTGTGGTAGCTCGTGTGGATCCTTTGAGGAAGTCAGGGGATGTAAACGACTATAAGCTGTGTGAGTTGAAAAGGGTTCCTATTAGTGTGAATGGAACAATAGGGAAGGCCCTCGTTGATTCAGGAACAGAAATTACGGTGGTTAAGAAAGAGTTAACCAAAAGTCTCCAACTGAAGGAAGGATCGAGTATATATTTGAAAGGTATATTTGGTCCAGCTGTTAAATGCCCTTTGGTAAGCATTCCACTGAGTATTACTGTAGGAGAAAGTGCCAATGTTACACATCAAGAGATTTTGTGTGCAGTTGCAGAATCGCTGGCAGAGGATGTGTTGCTTCCTCCGGAAGTATTCACCATGTTAGGAGGTCGGTTATATGACACAGGTGAAGGGGTGGAAAACTTACCTGAAGAAACCACAAACATCCCAGAGGTTAGGAGAAAGGAAAAGTCTGTGAAGGTAAACACAGGGAAACTAGAAGGAAACGCTAGTATGGGAAGGAATCTCAATGAGAAAGGGAAGGTGGAATCAAGTGAAAGCCAAGAACCTCAGCCAGGAAGACTATGTACAGCGGATGTATTTAGAAGAGAGCAGGAGACTTGTGAATCTCTGGTAGGAGCATGGGAGAATGCTCAGAAAGGAAAGGGGAATTATTATACAGTGGATAACTTTCTCTTTCATAAGGACAAAATTCTTGGGGAAAGTGTGGGGCAATTAGTTGTACCTAAGAGTCGAAGGGAGGAAGGAAAGTCTTGCAGTTAGCACATTGCTCGGTGTTTAGTGGCCACATGGGGGTAAAGAAAACTGTGGAGAGAATTAGATACTCTTTTTATTGGGAAGGTCTGAGGTTAGACGTTCAGAAATTTTGCGAGGCATGTAAAGAGTGCCAGTTGACTAGACCAATTAAAACTGTTGATAGGACACCAATCACCCCAGTAACGAGGCCAGATCTGCCCTTCCAAATTGTAAACATTGATGTGATAGGTCCGATTGATCCTCCCAGTTCTAAGGGTCATAAGTATATATTATGCTTAGTTGATCAGCATACCAGATGGGCAGAAGCAATACCTCTAACTAGCCTCTCCGCCAAGTCGACTTGTGAGGAGTTATTACATATTTTTTCAAGAACGGGTATTCCAAATGTAATTGCATGTGACAATGGAACAAATTTTAAAGCAGATTTGACTCAAGAATTTGAGAGACGAATAGGGGCCAGTCCTAAGTTTTCGACCCCTGGATATCCTCAAGCTAATGGATTAGTTGAACGGTTTAATGGTACTTTAAAAAGAATGTTGCATCATGTCATCAGAGAGAAGAAGGTAGAGGGTGGCATTTGCAAATTCCTTATGTATTGTGGGCCTATAGAGAAGTACCCAACTCAACAACTGGGGTGGCTCCATTTCAACTCATGTACGGCAGGACACCTCAGGGACCTCTGTCGATATTAAAATCATCATGGACAGGGAAACATGAAAATTTACAATTAGATGCAACTCCTGTTTATACATATTTACAAAATCTAAAGGCTAGGTTTGAGAAGGCAGCGGAGCAGGCAAAGCTCACAGCTAAAATTCAACAAGAGAGGACAGCACACTATCATAATTTAAGGTCTACCATAAAAACATTTAAGGTGGGAGATAAGGTGATAGTCTTGATTCCCGATTCTAATAACAAGCTTTATGCTAGGTGGCAGGGTCCTGCAAATATATTGGAACAGAGAAGTTCTCACTCATTTGTAGTACAAATGCCCGATGGGACCAAAAGACATGTTCATCAGAATAAGATTAGACCTTATGTAGTTAGATCCCAAGCAGTAAATGTTATCTTGGAGGGGAAGAAGAGTTTGGGGAAATTGAATTGAATCTATACCTGTCAACAAGGGAGAAAAGAGTTTTTCTGAATCTCTGGAAGGATTAGAAATGTCTAATTTAGATTCAGTCCAAAGGAGTAAACTTTTAGGGCTACTGAGGAAATATCAAACATTATTTACACGTCCAGTGCAACCAGCACGAGTAGGTACACACAAGATCGAACTTATTCCTACTGCTATTAGGAAGAAACCCCACTGCTATGGAATACCCATGGCATACCGCAAAGCAGCAGTAGATGAGCAGATACGTGAGTTGCTAGAATTAGGATTAATTGAACCTTCTGAGTCAGAAATTGCTCATCCTATAGTTTGTGTGGCGAAAAAAGATGCTACAGTTAGAATGTGTATAGATTTTAGATCATTGAATGCTGTAACGAAAACTCCAACATTTCCCATGAAAGACATGCAGGAATTGATTTTTGTGGCGGGTGCAGCAAACTGGCTGACAAGCATCGACCTTCGAAAAGGGTATTGGCAAATCCGAATGGATGAAAAGAGCAAACCTTTGACTGCATTTGCAACATGTAATGGAGTGTACCAGTGGAGAACAATGCCTTTCGGCTTATCAGGAGCCTCAGGGGACATTCCAGAAGGAAATGAATTGTGCTTTGCAGAGTCATAGTGATTATGCTCAGGCATATATAGATGATGTGGTGATTTTCTCGAAAACATTTGAGGAACACTTGAAACACATTTCTCTGGTTCTGGAAACTTTAGAAAAAATTAGGATTTTCTGTACGTTTGGACAAATGTACTTTTGCAGCTAAAAAAATCAAATATTTGGGGCATATAATTGGAGGAGGCAAGCATGGTCCTGATGAAGAAAGGGTCAAAGCAATTAGAAAACTCGTCAGGCCAGTCACAAAAAAAAAAAGATGTGAGATCGGTTTTAGGATTAATGGGATTTTATCGATCTTATATTCCCAGTTATACGCAGAAATATCGGCACCATTGACAGAGTTGACGAAGAAGAGGCAAGCCAATATTGTTCTATGGGGGGGGGAGTTGGAACAGAATGCTTTTAACAAATTAAAGGATACTTTGTGCCAAGTGACATCTCTGGCCACACCAAATATAGGAAAAGGAAAGCCATTTCAGATCCATTGTGATGCATCCAATTTGGCGGTAGGTTGCTGTTTAACCCAGATAGACGAGAGTGGTAACTATTGTCCTATTGCATTTGCAAGTCAAAAGCTTTCTCAAACTCAGAGAAATTGGGCAAGCATTGAGAAGGAAGCTTGGGCAGTCTTATTTGGCCTGAATAAATTTGATAAATGGATCTATGGGGCTCAGGTAGAAATTATAACGGATCACAACCCTCTCAGATATTTGAATGAAACTACTCCTCGAAGTCCCAAATTGACGAGGTGGGCTCTGGCATTGCAGAAATGGAACTTACGGATTAGTCATAGGCCAGGGATCCAGCACCAAAGTGCAGATGCACTCTCACGTCTGGATCAAATATGATATGATTAATATAATTTGATTGTTTTTTTTCTTTTCTTTGTTTATTTGTATGATTGTAATAATTTATTGCTTGTTCTGTTTTGTTTTATTTAATACTGTACGAGGTTGGTATTGTGTAAAAGTAATGTACAGAAAATTTGCTTGGATATTGATTAATGAAATACGTCCCAAAGAAAGGACAAATTTCATTCTTGGCAGGGGCGTGTCATGCACATACTCGGTATGCTACCGACCAAACCTGCCGGAAGAACAGACTTATAGCTGAAAGCCAACGACTTATAGCTGAAAGGAGAGAGGAGAAAATCTGGCAACGAAAAGAAGAAGAAGAAGCGTGCTTGATGCGAGAAGGACGGCATGCTCGTGTGAAAAAAAACAGTTTATCTGAAAGGAGAGGGGAAAATATCTGGCAACGAGAAGAAGAAGAAACGTGCTTGATGCGAGAAGAACGGCATGCTCGTGAGAAAAAATTTGAAATTAGTTTGGCTGTATTCCGAGAGTAGAGTTAGCTTTTTTTTTTTTTTTTTTTTTTTTTTTTTTTTTTTTTTGTTAAGAGCTGAGAGATGCAATGTATTACTTGTGCGTTTGATGTAAATGTGAATAAAAGCAATACTTTGTGAAAAGTTAAACTGTATTTACAAAATTAAAATATAGCTCATGTTATTGTTAAACCTGCATAAGTGTCCCAGTTTATTTCCTGCAAATAGAGTTGACTAATAACATTCATAAGTGGATAGAAACGAACCGACAAAGATGAATTGATCAAAGGATCGATTATGACAACATAAATTTAAGCAACAATTGTTCGTTTGGAAAGCAACTTTAAAAGTATTTAAGCAAAGCTATGAGATGCGACTTAAGACGTTAAAGAGTTTTGGAATTTTATTGTTGAAGAAGGATAGAAAAAAATCTGAAAGTAATTAAAAGAATATCCCCTTACATTTATAAAACTCAGTTACAAGTTTTAAATAATACTAAAAAAAAAAAAAAAAAAAAAACTTCTTTTTATTCCCTTTCAGAAAATGGTCAGAGAAAGTTCAAGTACTACTTAATACCTATTTAATTATTAGGAATTAGCGAAGTACTTATTTAAAGTATTTCGCTAATTCCTAATAATTCTCTAATTTAAAATGAACTGAATAGAGCATTAATTATAAATTGACTTACATTTTTCGATTTAAAAGATGCCTCAGAAGCCAAAAAATCATGTCATATTTAAGAAAGTATTTTAGGAAGAAGCTCTATAAATAGAAAGAAAATAATGCATAATTTTAATATTAATAATACAATAAACTTTGATCTTAATTTTTGTACCTTAACCGAATATAAAATCGAATTACCTTAATTTTTGTTTCTAATGTAATTAACGAAAACTGTGAAAATATTTCATTCAAATTAAACCATTCTGAGAAAAAACTGTCCTGTGAAAAGTATAGCATTTAATTCCGTTCAGATGAATAATGTTGTTTAAAAATATGTTGTTTTCACATACTAGGACTCTGAAGTGTTGTAGAAAAGAAAATATATACATTTATATGTATATTTACGACGTAATTACAAATATTTTACATCCGAACGCGTCAAATCCCATAGAACTCAATGGTAAATGACCCAATGTTTTGGTCACCACGTAGGGATCGCCGGTGCTTCAGAGCAGGGTACGGGAGAAACTGGTTTAGGGCGACTCCATCTTACTTCCTACCTCCATGATTTTAGTAAAAAGAGAAGTTTATGTTGGGGGGGGAGGGAGGGAATTAAATTATATTTCAAAGCTCTTTTTTATCGGCTTATAAACTTAAGAGATGTTAGCTGTAGGACTGAAATTAACAGCTTGCTACTCATAGACTGACAACAGACGAATGACAGAGTTTATTAAATTTAGGTGAAGTTTCAGCTAAAAAAATATATAAATTATTTATAATTTTTTTCTTTTATAAATAAAGAACTAGAGTTCTGTGCAATTTCTCACACATATAAATAAACATAACACATGGAAAATGTGTCACTTTATTTTAAACTTTAATGACTAATATCTCAGGTCCTCATTTAGAGCTGGACAAGCGTATGGCAAGCGAAATTTTAGAAATACATCTAAAAATTAAATTATGACTGCTAACATTCAATTTTGAAAGATCTCGAGAAAAACAGTTCTAAAAAAACACGTTTAAAGCAAAAAAATAGGCACGATAGTTTTTAGCATGCTAGCGAACTTTAACCATAATCAGTTAACCAAACCGAACCAAATCAAAAGCTTAATTACTTGTTAACGATTAAATTTTTAGAGTAAGACATAAAAATCATTATCATGTATTGTCAGACCCGGAACAAGGATGAAGGCACTTGCCTCAGGCGAACAATTAAAGGAGCAGGAAATCGGATTTTATTTTGAAAAAGAAATTAGGATTGTTAAATTCCAACTTTAGAATACATCAAGAATTATCAAAAGAACCCAGCGTTGTAAACAATCATTCTGAAATGAGAAAAATATCTTTTATTTATTTTTAAAATACTAAGGTTTCATTGTACTATATGCACTATCTTTCAAATTGTTAAAATCTATTGTTGGAACTAAAGTGTTAAAATTTTACGTTTTTTTATTCTAGCAGCATAAATTAAACTAAGTTGTTAAATAGAAAGCATTATGCGACCGACCATTTGTAATTCTATGCTACTTTCCTTTAAATTGAACTAGTGCTCTCACTTTCCGTAATAAACTTTCCAAAGTCTATTTCGTATGGACGACGTGAAGTCCCATAGTTCGTTGAAGCAGACTTCATGCATAAAGGCCCATTGAAATAGCATCGAAAGACTAAATGAGAATGTTTGAAAATGAAATGTCTAGTATTATCAATCTTTTCCTTTTTTTTTTTTTTTTTGTGTGTGTGTGTGTGTGTGTGTGTGTGTGTGTGTGCGTAAAATTTGGTTTGAACCAGAAGCATGGTTTAAAGCAGGGGCGTAGCTGGAGGGGGGCAAGGGGGCATCTGTCCCCGGGCGCAGAATCCAAGGGGTGCCAAATTGATGCTACGACATTTTAGAATTAAATGTTTTCCATCCTTGGCAAGCAGTAGGGGGAGCAAAATCTTCAGTTGTCCCTGAGCGCTGAAAACCCTAGCT